GAAGCCAATAAAGGTCGAGTTCAGCACGCTTTTATGTAGTTCCGTGTAAATAAGAATAAAAAGCGGGTTTCGATGATTCTCCCGCGATAACAATGGAGTGGAGACTTTTCTTACGTATGAAAATGCATGATGAAGAGATTCGTTGGTCATTCTCACCAGAAGACGACGGATGCTCCATTCTGGTTGACACAATCCATGAGACATCCTCTCTTGTTTCGTGTGAAAAGGGGCTGAGTTTTATTTCACCATTTCCCTGACGTCATCAAAGCTGGGACTCATCATTGCGAAAGTCTCAGGTTAAGCCTAAGTCACGAAAACTGGCCGGCTCTGCCCTACGTGATGTATATATATTCATAATGAGACATTAATTAAAGGTAAATTCTCTCATACTCGAGTGTGTCTGTCTATATGTGCGTGCGAGATCTCTGATATACACCAGCTTAATGGTCTAGCTATACATTGGCAGAAAAAATAAGGTAACATTTGCTGCATGTACCTATTCACAATTCACTCAATTTCAGAATGGAATGGAATGAAATCGAAATAACTCGAAATAGGACAAAAAGTGGACTACCATGAGGAAGGGACAGAAATGCAACACTGGTCGCGAAGACGATAAAGATTCGTTTCTATGGCTTTCTTCAGATGCTATAGGCGAGTCAAATGTCTGGATTTAGGAGATATCAAAAAAAGCTTTTGGCGAAATAGCAAGTCTCATCAAACAAGCATATTTGGTAGCCTGTATTCAGAATTTCACTTACTCGAACGGACTGTCTTTTTTCTTAAATGCCTCGTTTATGCTGTGATGCTGTGATATTTGCATTCGGGCATTTCCACGCTTAGGCAACAGCAGTCCAGACTATCTCTTGGGCGTTTCAGTGATTTGTTCAGCTATGAGTAGTACTTGGCAACATTCTGATCTCTTCTAAATCGAATAATAGCCTCATTAAGGGCTGCTTTCGGGGACTATGAACCAGAAGAATGGTACCGGCAGAATATTTTAGCTTCAAGTCAAACTCTAACTAATGCCCTCGGAACCATAAATGCTCTGCAGTTCAGTACAAGTTACAATCAGAACAAAAAGCAGAGTTCAGCTGTCTTAGACGAGGAACTCCGTCTGATTGAAGACGAAGATATCAGGACTGGAATAGTTTAGTGTTTGCGTGGGAGAAAATAGTGGGAAAGTGATGAAACTTATTGTGTTGAAAATGTAAATGCACTTTCATCAGAGAAATCAACTAATGCCCTAGGGCAGGAAGGAATAACTTATTATAAGGGAATATAAACAAATTTTCATTTTGCTGTCAATAATTGTAACGTTTTAGTGATTACATATCCGGTCATTTAGCTTCTCCCTTTTGACACGATTATGAGGCGCTTGATGGCGAATGAATGGCGAATGAATGGGGTAAAATAGTTCAACTTTATGCAAACTGCAAAGATGGCTGATGAATTAGGTTAGATTTCAACGAGTCCTTCATCGCCTAAAATGAAATAGAGTGAACGCAGCTCCTATATCCGATTTACTGGTGATCTGGAAATCATAAATACAAACGGAAAACAATCCATTCATACCAATATCCACGTGGATGCAGCAGGACGGAAAGTTGGTCAAATATGAGCATCAATTTTCTCCTTGACGAGTTATAAATTGACCCTAGAAATAGCACGGCGCATTGGCGACGCCAGAGAAGCGTAATAAAATGTACCAAATTCACGGTTTGAGGATTAAAATAATCCTGACTATTATGACGGAGGCAGCGTTTCAGGTCGCGTTCATCGATACTTTAAGCAGGGATGTATATAAAAAGCCAGCACATGTTGGCTTTATCTCTAATTTATTTTACAACCATGGTTATAAAACAAAGATTGGTATTTTAAAATGTATGATTATCTGGAGCATAAAAGTAGCCAATAGAGACCATTGTGATGATGAACTGGATTGGCTCAAACTAATATTACTTGGGAATAATTATCTCCTACCTCTGATTGAAAATAAGATTAGATTAATAAAGAATACCTTTTTGAATGGTGAATGCGCAAGGAGAGATAATGAGACATCTTCTCATGTTTCGTCTTTACCTTCGTGAATTCTCTTAAACAGGAATTGGAGAATAAAAACGGTTTGTATGGAAATTACGACAATTTCTTCAGTTATGCCCATTTTTAGAGAGGAAGATGTCCCATTATCCAGATCGGCTTGCCATAACAGAACGTGTTCTTGTGGTCGCATTTTGTTTGAGAGACTTGTCATCCCATTCGACAAATGGTGGGTGATCAAAAAAGCGTCTGTAGAGTCTGATGGGATCAAAGCTAGGAGCTAGTTGAGCACACGGCAAAAACTAGGCATGCTATCCAATCATCTAAATCGTGTCGTTTTGGTGATTATGTTATGTCTGTGGCTAAATGTTAACTTTTAAAAGTCATCGCAATAAAACAATGAGGGCATTATTGCATATAAAGAAAACCAGCAAGGAGTTAAATAAAAAATATTTACTTCGTTATTAGGCAGGGTTTTGAGACTAAAAGTAAATCAGATATATGATTTGTGTCCATCCTATTTCGTTTAAGGTGAAGAAGGAATGATAATTGGTTTTTCCAATAATCATATGAGTAGAGGTGACGCTTCCATTGAATTTCACTTGGTCTTGCTTTCCCCAAAGTTGTTCTCATCCAAGCAACAATGGACTGCCGTTTCGACCTCGTATCAGTCTTATCAACACCCTCAGCGGGAGTCGAACCGTGACAGTGCAAAATATGAGCTTGACACGTTAACCACTCGGCCACATTTCCATGAGTGTCCTTGTGTCACAGGCCAGATGTGAATTTCAAGGAAGGTCACGCATTTTCCATATCACAT